GGACTCACCTGTGCCAGCCTTAACTTTAAGCTTTACTAAAGAGGAAAGTCTTAAGCCTACTCTTAAATCATAATTCTTCATCTACCACCGCTGGACCAGAAGCTGTGTTAGCTTGTGGCACCTGAGTGGCAATTAAACAAATGTATGATCACCTCCCAAGCTGCCTCAGGCAGGAAGCCCGCACCCACAGATCCAGACCCCACATCTCCTAAGGGACTAAGAGATGGTTCAGGACTCACCTGTGCCAGCCTTAACTATAAGCTTTACTAAGATGAAAGTCTTAAGCCTACTCTTAAATCATAATTCTTCATCTACCACCCACCAGAAGCTGTGTTAGCTTGTGGCACCTGAGTGGCAATTGTTTAAAAATGTATGATCTCCTCCCAAGCTGCCTCATTTTGTCAAGAACTCACAGTTTCAGCCTGAGACAAAAGAGATGATATAAAATCATTCTGGGATCGGATTAAACAAGCGAGATGATCTGGAGCTGGATTAACCAAACCAGGTGCAAAACAGTATCAGTATGTCCATATTGGACGCCCTGTTCTTCCCACTCTCTGTGCACTGTGAATGTATCCTGTTGCCTTTAAGTACCCATTGAAAACAGTGCACGTGGTCAGTTCATTGATGCCCAGAGCCAACCCTACCACCTGCCCCAGCTTTACTGTGTATCAGATAGTTTATGGAGATTTAATTCAACGCAAATTATGTGCAGCAAGTGAGCATCAACTGACATAACAAAGGGATCCAGATGAAATCCAGATACGGTTGAAGACACTTTGCCACATGTGTGCGTCTCTGTTGGACGGATCACAAATCCGTCTTTGTTTTCGGTTCCCTCCTCTGGCCCAGAAGGAGGTGGTTCCGAAGCAAAACACCATATTTATTAATTATAATTGTAAACTAAGAGCAAGACAAAAGTTTTGTAATACAACAACCTTGTAATTAATGGCCTTTCCTGTGTTTCCCCTGTTTTTTATAGACTTGTTATTGTTCTGTTGGATTACATTATACTGTCGGCTATTCATGTTATTTTGTCCACCTATTTACTTTTAATACACGTGTCTTTTTATCTCCAAAACATGCTGGCCTGAAAGACATGCCAGCGTATCTAAAACCGTTCATAAAGCCTCCTCAGAATGTACCAAATGAATTAAACATGACTTAGTAATTGACTGTACATTATAACACAGCAGGAGACACGGAGGCAGAGGAAGACTGAGCGAGTTGCACAGAGACTCCAGAGACTAATGAGCTAACTGCGGGGCGTTCTTCATTCTTCTTCTCATGTGACTGCTGTAATTGGGTCAGTCAATAGCCCTGTGTGGTGCTGCTGCTGGTTCAGAGGAGCCGAGGGCTGTCTGCCGTCCTGGCCCATGCCAGCCCTGACGATGTGGGCCACAGCAGCAGGAGAGCTGCCTCCAACCAGCCCAGTGTCTGCTCACTTCCTGTACCTGAGTACAGTCCTTTCCATAATAAGGCAGCTCAGTTTTGCACTTGGTTTCCTATTTAGCTGTACATTTCATGGGTCTGTGATTTTACCCTTACTCATACGCATTTTAAAGGACATCTGTTCTATATGAGCACTGCATCAGAGATCTATATGAATGAACATTAAAGTACACTGAAATAAAATAGAATAAAATAAAATAGTTACTATCTAACTAACTATCTATAACTATCTTACTATAGTTACCTGGAATAAGTTAAATATAAAGAGTCAGCATGTATTTACACACACAGTGATCGATACTAATTCCAGTGCAAATTATTCAGCAAAGGTGATCCATCTAATCTGATTTGCTTTATTTTATTGTATTTTATTTATTTATTTTATCATTTATATTTGTAGTTATGTTTGTTGTTTTTTTAAGTCAAAGTGAAAAAGTCTACATTCTAAAGTAACTTTTCCAACTCAATGTCCACATACTAGTTTTTCCTAAAGCTTTAAACCATCTGTGCTGAGAGATTGAAGAAGATGAAGACCGTGTTGGTTGTGTACTTCACTAGCTATCTAACAGCTACAGCAGAAGTCTGCTACCTGATCCAAACAAGGTATTGGGTTTCAAGCCACTTTGTTGAGTAAAGGCCTCAGGTAAGATTCGGTAATTTCTTTAAAGAATGTTTCTCTTTCTCTACCCGTGTCCATTCTGTATCCATGAATGTTATTTATTTCTTTCATAGTGGAAAAAGGAAGAGAAACAGTTGCATTAGCCTGACCAGCTAAAGGTCAGCAGTGGATAAATAGACGTAGTTCTGGGTCTCAACTGTGGCTGTTGCCGTCAAGTTCAGTCACAGTGGGACGGCTAGTTTCCCCTCTCAGTTTTAGGCTTGTGTAGAACTGTAGTGCACAATTGCTACAGTGGGTGTGTGGGACGAAGATGAATTCATGTGTACACACACAGATTGCAAAACACCCCAGCAGTCAAATTCATGTGGATAAAGTGAAGCCAAAATCATCATCATCATCATCATCATCGTCATCACCACACAGTAGTGGGTGTTGGTTGTTCAGTCTGTCTGCCACTGTGGTCCAGAATGAAATACGTCAACAACTATTAGATGGACATTCATGTTAACCAATAGATATATGCAACTTTTCACCTCGCACCACCAGCAGGTCAAAGTTTCCAGTTATCCAGTGAAAGATCTCAGCTCCTCATGGCTCCTAGCTGATAAATGTGATTAAACACTAGTGAGCCTTGACTTTGCTCGTAGTGCCACCAGATTGACATCTTTGGTTCAGAATGAAATGTCTCAGTAACTATTAGATGGACTGCCATGATACTTTGTTTAGACTTCATGTTCCCCTCAGGGTGAACCTTAAAATCTTTTGTAATAACCTTTTTTAACATGTTAACGTGTCCAACGCTTTGGTTCATGACCAAATACCTGCAGAACTAACGACATTCCCATCATCAGTTGCACACTGTGTTTGCTGCTAACTAGCAAATGTTAGCAACATGGAAAACATTACCAGCTAAAAATCAGCATGTCAAATTGTCATTGTGAGCATGTTAGCTCATAGCATTGCTGTGCCTTGGTAGCCTGGCAGTAGACTCTTTGCTTTGACCTGTAGAAAAGACAAGAGCAGGTTCTCAGTGGAGCAGAGTTTTCTGCGGGTTTAGTCTCTGCTGTTATCTTTCAGTTTCTAGCATCCTCTTTTTTTATTTATAGTTTAAAAATAAACTTCATTTGCTTTTATTTCGATATGGAATTAAATTTAAGGCCGCGTTGGAAAGTCTTTAATTTGTCTTTCAGAGAGCTGCATTATCTGGATACTGAGGAGCCTGCAGCTCACCTATACTGTGCACACACAGCAATATAACGTGGCTGTGTGTGTGTGCATACACACTAATTAATGTTTACATCAAGTCTTGTCAGGCAGAGTGGGTGTTAACTTGAGACCTAGTGTACATTCCTTTCTAGTTAAGTGTTTGCAGCTCTTCTTTTCCTTTTTAAGGTTTTCGTAGTAATTACGGGTTTTCTCCAGCAGCAGCTGCCCTAAAACCAGATCTGTGTACATAAACCGGATGAGAGGGTGAAACGAGAATGTTTGGTGTTGTGTTGGTATGCTGAAATGGCCTCTGCACTGAGACAGCTCGGCTTTGTTTTAGGTGAAAAGGGTTGGATCTATATTCTTCCACATGTAATGTATTTTTTATTGACTTTCGCCTTTGTCTCAGCGTGTTCAGCTGCTTTTATAAGCTGCTTCTATTCTCTGATTGCTGCAATTAGGGATTCACGCCTGTAAGGCTGAAACCAACTTGTTTGAGATTTGTTTCATTTGTCTTTAAATGCTCGGAGCCTCAGAAGCAGCTAGTCTCACAGCAGTCGTGTTTGTATCTCCTCTAATCATAATAAAAATTAAACATGGTCTGATGACAAGATTTATTGTTTTTAATAATAACTCCTGAGCTGCCTGGTCTCAGAGTTCCTTACTCAAGATTAATCCATTTACTTTTTTATATTATCTGCATCTATCAGTCAATGACAAGAAGTCCTAACTCATCTACACTGTTAGCACAAGGACCCATAGGATACACATGTTTGAAAGAGGCAAATGTGTCTGTCGCTGAAAAATGAACTCACAAAAAGTAGAACACATTATACGCAATATAACATGTCAGTTTACTCGTCATGGTTAGAAGTTTAAAAGACATGGGTATTTACATATATTTATGTAGCTCGTTTTCATTGAAACAGTTCTTTCTAATTAACACCAAGGCCACTGCTGACTAGACAAAGAAACAGTTTGCCAGCCAGGTTTTTCGTTCACTTTTGGTGTAATGCACCTGGAACGTTTTGAGGTTGGCAAATTTTCACTGGGAAATTTTGACATCCAATTGTGACTGGAACGCAGCATAACAAAGGACGTTATTTTGTTTAATTATGGGAAATGTAGGATCCACTGTTTTTGAAGCGTGACCCATACTAGAGACAAATGCAGCAGCTAAGTGAGCCAACTGCTTTTGTGTATTTGTTCCATGTATTTGTGTACTAGTTATGCTATGTTGTTGTTTTTGTATTGTGTATGCGTGTTTTTGGACTCCCTTGAAAATGAGATGCCGCATGTCAAGGGGCTATCCACTAATAAACTGAAATTAAATTGAAATTGAAATAAGCTGTGTACAGTAGCTTGGAACTCGGAAATATCCGACCTCCAACTACAAAAAGTACAACTGAAGTTCCTACTTCTGAACTCGATGGCCGACCTTTTAATTAACACCAAGAGCACTGCTGAGCGTTCAAGTGCGTGCACGCTTGACAAAGAAACCTCAGTCTGTCACGGTCAGCCATGTTTTTCTCTCTGTTGATCTCTCTGCTACTGCTGCTTCCTGTGTCTTTGATTTTGAAATCCTGACAGCAGGACACAATCCCTTTTGGACAGCAAATATTTTAGTGTACTGAACTGGATTCTGTCTGAAAATTTGGCAGCATAATCAGGGTTTATATTGTTTACCAAACAGGCAGCAAAAATATGAAACTGGGTCACTGGATCTGGACAAACAACTTTATTTCTGGTAATGCATCTATACACTGTACATTCAGTCACTGTAGTATATAAGCATAGCTATTTTCAAACATAATCTCATAAAGTCCTTTACTTTACAATATAGTCCGTGTCGTGAGAGAAGGGGAAGGGCGTCGTTGTAGGAGGGATGAGGAAAAAGGCGTGAAAAGATGAAGGAAACAAGGGAGATAGATGAATACGCCAAGCTTGGTTTTCATACTGTATATGTGGCATTAATAAATGGGAAAGCTTACATTTACCTCTTACATAAAAATAGTTCTAGACTTGTAAGGTTTATATAGTATTAGCAGCAGCATAGGGCTAAAAAGATACATGAGGATGAGGGGGAAACAACCTGCAAGGTGGCGTAGTCAAGTGTGTGTAGGTCTGCTATCTGATACTGAACATACTGTTAAAAATATATATGAACTGGTGAAAAAAGCCATTTCAATATAAAGACTCTACAGTAAAAAAAAGAAAAGAAATGGATTAACATTTGTATGTAGGGAATATTCTCTTACGCACTGCATTAACTCTTTTTGAAACATCTCAGTTAAAACACAAATTCAAAATCAAAAACAAAAAAACAAGACAGCTATTGTAAGAAAAGATTTCTTTTTGAAAAAGGAAACACCATGTACATATATTATACAATATTGTAAATGAAAAAAATATTTACATTTGTAAATTCTTATTCAAATCTTCACACTGGCTAGTATTTGCGTATTAATATGGACTGTTATTGCTGCTTTGCTGTCCATTATTTAGCAAAATGATCCTTTAGAAAACGAGACGTTGTTAAACTGCTTTTTTCTTTTACCGTGGGAGAGCGAAGAGCCAATGTTGTTATCATCTCCCTTCTTTTGTAGAAAACCATGAGTAAAGTAAACTACACACAGGCTGTCAACTCTTTTGAGTGTAAAAACAACTACAAAATGTACCAATTTTAGGTCTGCCAAAGTCGCAGACGCAGTGTTGTTCTGAGCAACATCAGTGATGTTCGATAAGAAAAGGGCCTTTAACATAATGCCCTCTTTATTATCCTCGACATGTCCGCCGCCTTGGGACAAGTCAACAAACTGGGAATAAACACTTAAGTCCCTATATACAAACCAAAGTAACAATTCACTGAAGCAAGTGGCTTTTCAAGATCTTCTATAAAAATTGTTTGAACATGCATATCATTGATTTCAAATAAAGGAAAAAAAATACTCATTCAGAAATAAAAAAGCCTTAAGCATTCTAGCATTTGTTCAATTGTTCTCTGCATTTTAAAAAGAAAACATGTTTGTAAACTGGTTGGTTTTAAGAATACTGATAAAAAGAGCTGCTGAGCGAGTGAGGGGCTTTTAATTTGAAACCTGCAAACAGGAAGTTTATGAGAGGCCCAGCCCCAACAGCTTCCTCATCAGTTTTCCTACTCTGGAAACCTTTTGCCCACGTCCAGGCACTTGAGGTTGTCCAGCATTGCATTTTAATTTTTTTTTCTTCTTTTGGTTTTTGCAAGTGTGAAGTTTTTACTAAAGAACAATATACGGCGTGTTGCTTCTTTTTTTAATTACCTTTTCCTCTTCTAAATAAGACAAATTGCTTTATATTGCATAACACAATAAAATCCTTACATGTACAGCATCGATGCCCAATAACTGACTATATGTGTGGCAAACCTTCTCAAATTTCATGCATAAAGAAAATATGAGTTTTGAACATAACAGACAAGCAGTAAAATATCTCCACGTTTAAAACAACATCAACAACCAAAGGAAAAATAGCATTAACTCAATGTACATTCTGATTGCATTGTACCCACTGTGTGACGGCAGATTCACGGCCTCTGCCTGCTGAATAAAATCTCATTTTATTGTCTGAAGGTGACTTTTTGTTCAAGCTCAACAATTCATGTTACATGTTGCAAACCAAGTTTTGACAAATTTGTTGTGAGTTGTAACCGTTAATCTGTTATAATTATATTACAAAAATAAAAATAAAAATGGGAGAATGCGCTGCCCGTAACTTTCCAACAATTCCAGACTGCATCAGCAAGCAAGAAGTGGAGCCTTTTTTCTTCACGTTTATTTACAATACTTTGCCTTTAAGAAAACAGTTTTTATTCGAAATGCATATTATCAAACAAAATGCTTACTGGGTTTATATGGTAGCAGTCGTGTATAAAGATGATATTTTCAAAGTAAGATTGAAGACAATAGTGGGAGTACAATGCATTATACCAGTATTTTGTTATGACAAAGTGCGATTCATTATTGTAAAGTAAAAAAAAAAAAACAACAACATATATTCATATTTACATACCTTAATTTAATTAAAATGAACATTTTTTTTGTGGTTCTTGCTAAGGTTGCCCTGTCCAGTCCACTATGATTTCATACACAATGGTTCTGATTGGTTCTGGAGTAAAAACATGCCGGATTTTCATCACTCAAACGGCCACACACACATCTGGAGTTTTTTTATCTTTATAAGATAAAGACTTCAGGGTTTTAACCCAAATGCTTAAAATAACATATGGCAACCAGTGTGTGTGTGTGTGTGTGTGTGTGTGTGTCTCAGAGACTGTAGGAAATTGTTATTGATCATCCAAAAGGTGCCTTTAACACAGCATGTTTTTATGTAAGCATGTAATTCCCAATGCAGGGTTTTATCCAGAGAGAGAAAGATATCACCCTGCAGCTTGGAGAAATTAGAAATCAGAGATTTTATAAAACAACAACGGGAGGAAACGGCGAGGTCGACCTTGATGGTTTTTCCTTCTGTGGACTGCGATGGCTTCCTGAAAAACCGACAAAACCACGGTGGCACTGTGGAAAGTTCATTTACTTGTTTTGTTCATCTTCTAATTTATTTGTATCTTTTATATTTTCACACTCCAAAAGCACAGAGAAACAAAGAAAGTCTTTTTTTTCTTTACATATCGCTATGTAGTCTCTTAAATAGCTTATAATGTGCTCAAAACCCTCCATCTTCGTCACGGCGAGGGACGGCGGTGGAGGCTTTTTTTTCGGGAACTGGGAGTTAAATGTGTCCTCCTGGCCACACCGCTCTAACACCTCTCAACAGCTGATCACTTTCAGCATTTCTTATCACACGTCTGTCCAAAAGTCTCACCGCCTGTTCCTGTCAGAGGAAATCCATATCTTGTGCTATACATCCATTTTTCTTTCGTTCTTCACAATCTACTTTTCAGTTCTGTGAGTTTGGAAGGTGCGAGCCAGTGCTTGATTTAGAAACACGCGTTTCCTTGTTGCATCATTGTGCTATTTCCAGTCTTCAAGAAAACCACTCACTTGACTTTTCGTGCGCATGGACGAGGACACAGGCCCTCGTTTCTTCTCTCTGCCTCTGGGTGGATGGTGAGAGTCTTTTATTTTTGTGTTCTGGAGGGCGAGCGTGATGGGCAATGGTGCGATGTGGCCGGCCCCGGACTCCTGGTGTATTTATGGTCAGATGTTGGGGATCATGGCAATGGCGAGGGGAATGGTCGGGCGGTGACATTGGCTCCTGGGTTAGTTGACAACTGGCGTGTCCTTGGGCGTCCCCTCCTTGTCGCTGTTGGATTTGGGCCAGAGTTGCTGCTGTAGCTCCTTCACCACCCTCTCCAGGTGCTCCCTGGCCTCCCGCTCCTGCAGCAAGTCGGCTCGGAGCTGCTCGCGGTCGGCCTCGGCATGCTGCAGCTTCATCTGGAGGTCCTCGATCTGGAAAACACATGACAGGAAACACCTGAAATCACACCGCAGAAGACATCTGACAGGACTGCAGCTGGATGACTCTGAGCTGTTTAAATACACTGCTTATGGAAAATTTCATTCATGTCGGATTGACCATAACTGACTTGTAAATAACGTTCACGCTAACATCCGATGACCTGAAGTTTTTCCCATCTCTTCCACTTGTCCCATAGGATAAGAACATGGCGATCTCTGCACGACAGAATGTGAATGTGATGTTGTTTAACTGGTCTTTGTCCCTGGATTGTTTCAGTTTCTCGGTCTGGTTTCTGGTCTTAAAACCCCTCTCTAACATGCAAAACAAGATGTTTTTATTTTACTATTTCTGCCAAGTTCCGAAAGTCTAAATAGTTAAAACATATATACAAAATTCCAAAGTCGACTGCAGTCTCTGCAGGGCGGTCCACAGATGCAGCTGGAGAGCATAACCTCCCTCTTGTTTTGTCTAATCTGCATTTCCCATGGTGCCTGAGGGAAGTCGACGTCTCTTCCTGTTTTCCTTTTGGAGGGGGGCTTATCATACGTCTGTGCACTTGGGGCTACGCCCATTTATTTTTGACTGGGGAAGAGGAAATGTGTTTGACACAATCAAGTGTGATGACTTTCTGCCATCACACTTGCAAACTTTGGACTATTAGTGTCTGTCTACATGCACAGCCTTGTTTGGCCTCTTATGATAAAATATTTTAAGCCCAAGGACTGATTAATTGACAGATTCTCGAACTTTTCACAAGCTCCATTGAGCTAACTGACCTGTGCAGAGTATTTTGCGCGGAGACGTCCGGCCTCACAGCCTTTATCGCAGACCCTCAGCTGCCGGGCCTGCTCCAGCTCCCGCTTCAGACGGATCCGCGACTCGTTGGCTTCCTTCATTTTCTTCTCGCTCTCAGCTCGCAGGCGCTCGATTTCCTTCCTCAGGTTTCGCTTTGCCTCGGTTGCCTCCCGCAGCTTCTCCTTCTTGGCCACCCGCAAGAACTCCAACTCCTGGAAAGAAGAGATTGTAGGGGTTAGCGCCGAAGAGAGGGACTGTCCAATGTAATTTGTCCCACGCTGCTTATGCAACTGCTGTGAATGCCGGTGGATTTGTCTGACACGTGGCTGTTTACCTTGAGCTGTTGACACCTGAGAGCAGTCACTGGTTAAAGCAGGCTGCAGTGTCCATGTAAGTGAGACTGAGCCAAGTCGGGGGTTAGGACAATGTGCGGGCTGACAGAAGTTAGGCTTCCTTCCTCTGAATCACTGAAAGACTGTGTGTGTGTGTGTGTGTGTGTGTGTGTGTGTGTGTGTGTGTGTGTGTGTGTGTGTGTGTGTGTGTGTGTGTGTGTGTGTGTGTTTGTGTAGTGGTGAAACGCCCAACTCCTACTTATGGGAACACAGCAGTTGGGACAAACATGTCTATCATCAAGCTTTGTTGGTTCCTACAAAAAGTGTGAAAAGAAATTATTTCCAGTACACCCTTCTTTCTACACAGGCTTTACATTGGATCTCTTCAGTAACATCAGGGTTAGGGTTAGTTCAGCTAAACAGAGCAGGAATTATACCAGTGGCTTGTTTTAAAATAACTCTTCATTTAGTGTTTACCACAGGTCGTTTGGATTTGTGTTGCCCCCCCCCCCAGCTCCTCTGAACACTGATGGAAAGTGAAAGTGGAATGCTGTCGTGCTGGAAATCGCTTTTCTTTGCTCAGGATGCATTTTGTGTTGCTCACCCACACAGACTCCTTCGTCTGCTGTTTTTTGTTCTGAGTCCAAGACTAAAAATAAAAATGGAAGTCTGGCCTTTCCCTTTGCAGCAACATCCGCTCTCATTGTTAGCACTTGCCAACTCATGCTAAGCTTTGCGGACAGAGATAATTCACTTCTAATCCACTTCACATTTTGAAGCCTGAGCTGAAGTAATTTCCTCAGTGTGCCAACTTTGAAAAGTTTCTGTCTAATCTTATTTCAAGAATGTACGGGGAAGCTTTAGGTTTGTATGTGTTGTCACGGGCAGCTACGGTTGGGAAATCCCTTTTCTATCAGCCAGCAGTGATGGTGCATTCACTTAAATGAAATCATATACTATGTAAATATAACATATCAGTGTGAGAAGAGAGACACTTGTGACCCCATCCACACTAATGCGTTTTGTTTTAAAACAAAGACCTTTTGGTACATTTGCACCTGTCCAGACTACAACAGTGAAAACAAACACCTAAAACGGAGACGATGCTAGTGACAGTGTTTTTGATTTAGTATTTTTATTAAAACATTTTGTACCATGCTAATAATACTTAGGCTATAGCCTACAATAGTAGGCTACTACTGTGTATGTCGCTGTAATTACTTTGCGACGACTCCCAGTCTGTTTTCCGCCGCCATAGCCGCTTTTAACTCGTGTGTTACATACAGTAACAGTCCAGGCTCATTATTGGTCCATGCAAAAAAATATCTGGTGTGGTTCTTCGTCTGTATTACTTTATTCTTTTGCCAAATCATCTATAACTACAGAATAGACCATCTGCTTCATGTTTACACCGGCACCTAGTGTACATGGCCACTCAATGTGCATTTTCAGTCTTTTTAATGTAGACAGAGATCAACACTAAAACGCAGCTAAAATGCTGGTGTGGACGGAGATCATATTCGTTTCAAAACTCGAGTAGTGTGGATGGGGCCTTAATCACTGGGGTTGTAGATCTAACCACTGATGGCTATCAGGTTGTCGCTATGGGCACCAAAGGCAACACATTCATAAGTCATTGTTTGTATGACTGTTCAATTATTTGCCCACAGCATAATCACAGTTACTCAGACACATTTGACCGGCTGGTGGACTTGAATGCCACAGAGGTTAGTTTGGGTTAAGCAGTGTGCTCATAAATGTGGTATAATGATTTAAAATCTTTTTCAAAATGTCTTTGGCAGAGCTGTTCTCTAAGCTTCTGGGACAAATGCAAGTTCCAGCCGGGTGTCAGGTCACGTCAGGTCAGAGGTGGCAGGTCAAGGAGCTACTCTTTCCAGTCTCTGACGAGCATTAAAAAGAGACCCACTTTTATCCATTCAAGCCTCAAGTAGGTCAAGTGTCAGACCGAGGCAGAGGTCAAGTTTGTGACTTGGTGTGAGTGTGTTGCTGTATTTTGTTTCTCTTAATGAATACGTCATGTGACATTAACCATACCTGCTGGAGGCTGCGCTTGGCCTGCAGGGCCGACCCCAACTTTTCCTCCTGCTTCACTCTCATCTTAACAATCTCGTGCAGAAACTTCTCCTTCGACTCCTTGGAGTCCAGTCCGCTTTCCAGCGCCTGCCTCAGGCTCTCCAACTCTGACTCCAGCCCCAGCTCTGGAGGGGCCGGCAGTGCTGGGACAGGTGCAGCCACAGGGGCGCCACCCTCGGCCGACGTGACTGTGCAGATGGGCCCCTGGGCGCCGGGCGAGCTCAAGTCCTTGGCTGAGCTGCTGGACGAGGTGAAAGATGGCGACGACAGGGAGGACAGGGACGAAGTGACTGTTGGGAGAGACCAGAGACATGAGCAAGGTTGGAATTAACTGAAGTTTCTGCAGATGTCATGACAAAAAACAAACAGTCAACACACATCTAGTTGCTGGTATTGAGTTCTTTGCTTACATTCGTCACGGCTCTCCACTTCGATCTCCACCTCAGAGTCTTTGTCGTCCTGAGGCAGTGCGGGCTTGCTGGCAGCTGAGGAAGGAGGGCAGGGGGCCTCGGCCACTGGGGGTGGGAGCTCCCCTGTGGCTCTTCTCTTGCGAGCCCTGGAGTTGCCGTTGGCGCCCTCACCTGGGGGTTCACCTCCACTTGGGTGGGAGGTGCTGGGTACCGAAGGAGACAGGGGGCCCACCTTCCCCAGGGGCAGTGGTGTAAGGGCGACGTTGGGGGCCACAGCTTTCTCCATGCTCTTGTAGTTGTAGAAGCTTAAAAAGGAAACCACACAGTTTAACTGCATATCTCGTGATGTGTACGTGCAGAAACCTAAACCAAGATCACTTAATTAACGAAAGCTGAATTCTGTATGCAAGTAAACACAGCCAGTGCCATGTTGTACAGTCCAACGTGAACAGCCTATGCCAACCAGGGGAGAGAAACATTCAAATAAAGTGCCTGCAGCTCTTTCCTCCCACTTAATGACAAACTGGGCCAGATCCACTGTGATATGGTGCAGCCTGCACTGACATCGCCATGCCAATTGAGTGCCCACAGAATGAGTGTGTGTCAAATGTGTGTGAATGATGGAGTGTGGGAGACTGTGGTACAGTCAGACTTGACCTCTCTGACACCAGCCCACCCAGACAAGTGAGAGAGCATGCTGGGAGCTCGTCAGATCCAGCTGAACAAAATCGCTGTCGTATCATACAGTAAAAGCCTCTTCTTGATGTTTCATTGTTTGGAATTCATTTTCAGTGAAGTGCTGTTTGGTTAGAGTGTCCTCCATTTTGGATCTGCACTGTGCTGGGCTCACCTGTCTCTCAGCAGGGCCAGGGGGTGACTGGAGGGCTCCTTATCACCAGCAGAGATGTGGGGGGACCAGGGTCTGAAAGCTGAGGGCCTCTGTCTAGGCTGGATGCAGTTAAGCCCCTTAAAAAAAGATGTGACAACAATTAAAATCACACATAATAAAGAAATGACATTTAGTGATGATACAAGCAGAGAGCTCAGTTAGGAACGGATATCCTCTGAAATGTTCATGCACTGTTTTACCTTACTTTGAGAGCCAGAAACATGTAATTCCTTTTTCATTTAACAAAGATAAGCAACATTTATCACATTGTGATATTTTGTCCATAATGTCAGTATACTGAATAATATTTCTTTATCTCCTTTCCTTAAACCTGTATAGTCTGTCACCTGGCCTGTCGAGGCAGTTACTGGCAGTTCTTCCATCATGATTTTCTCTGCATTTGGTTGTCTAATTTCAGCGCACAATTTTAGATCCACAAAGAATTTCTGTTGGATTCTGAGCGACTAAGGCCATAACTTAGAATCACTGCAGATGTTTACTCATCTAGTTTGAAAGCTCTCCATTCCCAAAAAAAAAATAAATAAATAAAAAGACATTTACTTATTAGCATTACGACGTGCTGTAGGCTGCGGACGGTCCATATATATTAAAAGTGTGTGAATACGTCTGTTGTTGAAGAGTATGCTGCCATTCTAACCGTATGTCCAAGGCAGTTTTTTTAGGGAATATTGATCTTCACAGGGGACATCCATCATTATATTGTGGTTATATTCTGTTACACTGCTGTCTCAAACTCCAGCTCAGTAAGTGAATCGTGGCGTCTATAGTTACCCCCTCTCTCAGCACAGCATGCCAAGTCTAAATTTAAGCGCTACCCTCACCCGAAAACTTCTGTATAATATTACATGACATCTCATCTCATGCATCATCATTCTCATCATCAGCATCAACGTCTCCTTCCTGAGCTGAGCGACACTGACCTTATTGGAGGCGGACAGGGACTGGAGCCAGTCGTGCTGCTTCTCCTTGTCAGCCAGCGGGGACTGCGACGGGAAGTCTTCATATTTGGACTTCTTGATCGGGATGGGATCAGATGTCTGGGAGAAAAGAAGAACATTTGTTGATCAGGACTACATTCAGTCTGCAAAGAGAACAAGTAGCACAAGGCTGAATGTACACAAACACATCCAAGACGATTATTTCTCCCATGCAATGGAAATGCACCAAGAGCTGGCCACTTGGCAGGTGACTAAGGGCTGTCACAATTAAAAGTGAACTAAAAATGCACCTAATAGTGTCAAACAGACTGATTACTGTATGTGTGTGTGTGGATGCCTGATAGGGGAGTTCCAGCAGAGGTGTGCGATTAAATGATAGGTGTGGCGTTCACTTTGAGTATATCTTTCCCCACACACATACACAATCCAGGTTATAGTAATGTGTTACACACACATACACAATATAGCTAGGTGTGTTTGCTCATGACCAGCCAAGAGGTGACTGGGGCAGTGTGTGCGTGTCATACACAGATAGACCCATACAGACAGACAAGTAGAGGTTTGTTTCTCTTTCCCCCGTGAGGCTGGCTTTGTGGCTATGAGCTCAGCCTCTCCAAGCTGTGGCTGTCACTAGCCTGCCTGCCTGCCTGCCTGCCTGCCTGCCTGCACACACACACACACACACACACACACAGCATTTGCAATGTATTTCTGATTGAACAGAGTGTATGTTTTAGACTTCATGATCTTACAGATAGACTTAAAAATGGACCATCCCACAAATGTGACATTCTGTGAGTTATATAATATTTGTATTAAATGGAAATGCAAAAACACGTCCTTTAAATCACTATTCCGCAGCAGCCAAACATACAGAGGAAAACTACATGATTAGTCCTGACTACTAAAATGAAGTCCAACTTTCTTTAATTCTGAAATTATCATACATGTTCTATGTTTTCACTCGTTCTTGGTGTTTAGAGGTCATGTGTTGGAGTGGAGGTCACATATGTGATGCAGATCTGGGCTGGCTGTGATGAACAACCGATTTTTCTAGAGGGGATATATTCACTCTCGCTCTCCGTCTCTGGTTCACTTTGCGGTGCTCTCTCGCCCTTATTTTCTCTCTCGGAGGATCTCCCTCAGGAATCCACAGCGTTCGGGCAGCAAACTGCTGCAGTGTGCAGGAGTGGGCAGGACACGCCATCACACACACACACACACCCACACACCATGCATGGTGTCAACAGGTGGTCATTTGCAACGGGGTTAGATACTCTCTCTCTGCCTCTCTCGGCCATGTTGGCAGTGTGTCATGCTGTGCCACATGTCTGTGTAATCAGAGCTGGTCTCCCAGGAAAGCAGCGTGGCTAGACGAACAAATACCGCCGGGGCCTGCCGACGTGACAGCTGTCCTCGATCCACCATGGTCCTGATGTACAACTCTATGACTTTCAATGATTTTCCATGACGACGTCAGAGTGCTTCTAAGACTATTTCTGAAGGCTTGTATCTATTATATGTTAACAAAGTCCTTTAAATGTGTAAACTACATTTATGGATTTCTAGTTGTTTCATTTTAAAGAGCTCTTATAAGGGGCATTAGACAACAGGACCTTGTTATAAAGCTCTCTAGGTAGGTAGGTAGGTAGATAGATAGATATCCATATATATACACACACGTGCTGGTCATATAATTAAAATATCATCAAAAAGTTGATTTTATTTCAGTAATTCCATTCAAAAAGTGAAACTTGTATAATGTATACATTCATTCCACACAGACTGATGTATTTCAAGTGTTCATTCCTTTTAAATTTGATGATTATAACTGACAACTAATGAAAACCCCAAAATCAGTATCTCAGAAAATTAGAATATTGTGAAAAGGTTCAATATTGAAGACACCTGGTGCCACACTCTAATCAGCTAATTAACTCAAACTTAAATGGTCTCTCAGTCTAGTTCTGTAGGCTACACAATCATGGGGAAGACTGCTGACTTGACAGCTGTCCAAAAGACGACCATTGACACCTTGAATAAGGAGGGCAAGACACAAAAGGTCATTGCTAAAGAGGCTGACTGTTCACAGAGCTCTGTGTCTGCTGGAGTCAGTGCTTCAAGAACCACCACGCACAGACGTATGCAAGACATGGGTTTCAGCTGTCGCATTCCTTGTGTCAAGCCACTCTTGAACAAGACACAGCGTCAGAAGCGTCTCGCCTGGGCTAAAGACAAAAAGGACTGGACTGCTGCTGAGTGGTCCAAAGTTATGTTCTCTGATGAAAGTAAATTTTGCATTTCCTTTGGAAATCAAGGTCCCAGAGTCTGGAGGAAGAGAGGAGAGGCACAGAATCCACATTGCTTGAAGTCCAGTGTAAAGTTTCCACAGTCAGTGATGGTTTGGGGTGCCATGTCATCTGCTGGTGTTGGTCTGAGGTCCAAGGTCAACGCAACCGTCTACCAGGAAGTTTTCGAGCACTTCATGCTTCCTGCTGCTGACCAACTTTATGGAGATGCAGATTTCATTTTCCAACAGGACTTGGCACCTGCACACAGTGCCAAAGCTACCAGTACCTGGTTTAAGGACCATGGTATCTCTGTTCTTAATTGGCCAGCAAACTGGCCTGACCTTAACCCTATAGAAAATCTATGGGGTATTGTGAAGAGGAAGATGCGATACGCCAGAGCCAACAATGCAGAAGAGCTGAAGGCCACTATCAGAACCTGGGCTCTCATAACACCTGAGCAGTGCCACAGACAGATGGACTCCATGCCACGCCGCATTGCTGCAGTAATTCAGGCAAAAGGAGCCCCAACTAAGTATTGAGTGCTGTACATGCTCATACTTTTCATGTTCATACTTTTCAGTTGTCCAACATTTCTAAAAATCCTTTTTTTGTATTGGTCTTAAGTAATATTCTAATTTTCTGAGATACTGAATTTGGGATTTTCATTAGTTGTTAGTTTTAATCATCACAATGAAATGAAATAAACATTTGAAATATATCAGTCTGTGTGTAATGAATGCGTATAATATCAAAGTTTCACTTTTTGAATGGAAATAGTGAAATAAATCAACTTTTTGATGATATTCTAATTATATGACCAGCATATCTCTCGATCGATCGATCGATAGATCGATAGATCGATAGATAGATAGATAGATAGATAGATCGATAGATCGATAGATCGATAGATATGCAGTAGTTTTGAAGATTTTCAGGCTTAGGTTTTATATACAGACTAAAGTGCACCACAAATCGGTCACATCATGGAGTGCTGTGTCACTTGATGCATTCCACTTGATGTCTGTAGCGCAGACAAACACAAGCGCTGTATCCATAGTTGACACCACCATTGGCAAGTTAAAATTTTCACCTCATGGTGGCACTTGATGAAAAGACAGGGGATCACCAGAGTGGAGCGAGTCAGTAGGATTCATCCTCTGGGTACCTTAAATACCTGTATTAAATTTCATGGCAATCCATCTGAGTGTTGTGGGAATACTGGAGCCACACTGCCAGCATAGTTTTGCATAATCATTGTTTTCATCATGGCCTTCACATTGTGCAGGATTCACTGCACTTTGGCTAAAATACCCACCAGACAGACTACATTACACAAGTGTTAAAGTGTTGAAGGGGTTGTTGCATCTAATGAAACCTACCAGCTACAGCCCAGACTGTAGCTGGTAGGTTTGTGGGTTATCTAGAGATGAAGAGACGTGTCCTACTTATCAGGGAAGCAAAGCAGGGCTAGAGGCGAGAGGCTAGTGCCTGCAGTTCAGCCCAGAGAGTGGCTGATGGCACACACACACACACACACACACACACACACACACACACAGGGAAAAGTCTCTGTGCCACGTGCCAGTCCTCGTCTCGTGGATTACCAGTTGCCAGCCCTGTGGCTTTCCATCAGGGTGAGATCCGGCCCGGGTAATCTTGGACGGAGGAGAGCATTGGGGGGTCAACAATTGGCAGCTGAGCTTGTGGGATTCGGCGGTGGGGGCTTCAGGGAGGTAGAAAGCTGCATGTCTAGATTACTGAACAGTGGGACTGTGAGGCACGAAGCAACCAGACGGCCGGGTGGGATTCCCTTTTTTCAATAAACGCCTTGACTGTGGTACTGGATCTCAGGGGCCAGTTTCTGGTGAGCCAGTGCAAAAAAGGAGGAGCAGCGTAAATTCACTGTGATATCTTCCTACAAATGGGGGGTCTCTGTGGCTGAGGGTGTGACATGGCGACGTGAGAAATCCTCCTCCAATAGACACACACACACACACACACACACACACACACAGACCCTGACTGAGAGGTGAGTAAGACACTTTTAATGGAAACTTGACAGAGCTCTCCTGATAAGCATCTGACTTATAGCAGGTGACAGACCTGGGCTAACGTTAAGACACCCAAAAGTGTGTGTGTGTGTGTGTGTGTGTGTGTGTGTGTGTGTGTGTGTGTGTGTGTGTGTGTAAATACAGTTTACCCTACCCTTATGATTCAGTATGGATTACACAGCACAGACAGGATGTCACACTAAAATAAGGCTTTCCGATTAGCCGAGATGTGTGTTAGACGTGCCCAGCTTGCGCAGTCTATGCACTCAGCTCCAACACCTCACACTGAGAACATGACACCTCGCCACATCTGTGCACTAGCATTGCAACGTTATCTGTGAGATGACACCGGTCTTTTATTAACAGCCAGATATTGGTTTATTACTATTAGACTTGCTTTCAGTGAAGAGTTGCAGTGCTCTGGGGGTCTAAGAGCTCATTTCTTTGGCATGATATTAGCAAAGCAATGGCACAAAACATCTGCAGTGGACCTTTGAATCTGTCAGATGCTCATTTACAGGCCCTTCACTTCACACATGGCAGCTAGGAATAGTCCCTTCATGAGAAACTCACTAAGCCTCAAGTCATGGGGCAGCATATGTGGAAATAGGCTTGCCTCAGCTGCCATAGGGGGGGCCCCATGAAGGGGCTTATGTGTGAGCACGTGTCTGGGCGAGTGGATGTGGGTGTATACGTCTGTTAGTATGTGTGTATGTGTGGCAGAGACAGGATGGGTGGAGTGATAACAGTCTTATTG